AATAATGGTGATTATCAAATAATTAATTGATAATGACCATCTAAAATCTGTCACAGTTGATGAGCCTAAATCATAGCTATCTTCTTGTCTTAGGTTTCTGATTTTTATGGGATAGAAAAATCTATCAACATAGTGATAGTACTGTTCACTTTTATTCTCTCTCCACTGCACAGATATAAACATCGATAACCTAAATGTCAAATTATACTATACTTTGTTGTGAGAAGGGAGATCATTATCCAGCCTCAACAGGCCTAAAATGGAAAATTTTGATCTTTTTTTTTAAAAAAATCTATCAAATCCACCTTTCAGTTTTAGCATTAATTAGGTTCTTCGCTTTCCCAGCTGTTCTGGTAAGATTATTCCTTAGCATACTGTTAAAAATTGAATAATTGTTAGAACCCTTCTGCTTACAAACTTTTACCCTTATCCTCAATTTTTTTGTTTCTTTCAGTTATAAATTTAAAATATTTGCAGATTGTTTTCTATAAGTTTGGCGTGCTGGAGTGGCTAGAATGCAGTGCTGCAGATTACTTCTGCTAACTGCCGGCTGCCTGCAGTTCGGTAGTTCGATTCTCACTGGATCAGGATTGACTCAGCCTTCCATTCTTCCGAGGTCAGTAAAATGAAGACCCCGATTGTTGGGGAAAATATGCTGACTCTGTAAACTGCTTAGAGAGGGCTATAAAGCACGGTGAAATGGTATATAAGTCTAAGTGCTATTGCTATTTCTCTCTGTTTTTAATAATCTCAGTACTTTTTCATATCATTTTATTGATGAGTTGGGTTAGTTCTCTCAGCAGTTATTTGTAATTTCTTAGCTGTTTTCCTTGGGGTTTCCTTTGTTTTGTTTTTACTTTTGCCATTTTCTTCTAATATTGTTCACCATTTTAGGCAGCCAGGTGCAGGGGGGGGGAAACAAATGGGATGGTAATAAAGACATAAATAATAATTTTAAGCAATTCAGAATAATTAATACAACTTAATTTAAACCAGGGCAAGAAAGGAAAAGCAGCCACAGATAAATGTAAATGCTCACTAAAAATGTGCCTGTAGGAAACTTTAACATATTTGGTAAGTAGCATCTAAAATAAGCTAGTTTCCCACTGTCATAAGCAAAAATCTAAAAGATATTAAGACTACCTGATATCTTTCTGCTTAGTGCCTCTTGATTTGCATGCTGATATTGCAGTCTGGATGCCCTCCAGATATAGCCATTATAGCTGGAATTCTGAGAATTCTGGAAATTGAGATGCATGCATTTCAAAAGGTTAGGAAATGCTCCTTTACAGTTGTGTTTCTCAACCTAGGTAACTTTTAAGACGAATGAACTTCAACTCTCAGAATTCCCCAGCCAAAAGCCAGCATTGCTTTAGATTACCAGGATAAGAAGGACTTCAAAACTACCATCACCAGACCTGAACTGAAAAGATCCAGGTGATCATTAGATGCAGCAATAAAAATATAGACAATTCTATCCCTTGTTGCCACCTACTGGTCTTCTGGATTTCTGTAGCTCAGGTCTGGTGGTTATTGTTCTGTTGCTTCAGCCTGTTTGTGACCTGACAGACATAATTTAGTTAGATTGTTTCTCAGCAGCTGCTTCTGTGAGTTCTTGAAGGCTCATAGTTGTATTATCAGCCTTTTTTTCAAATGCCTTCAGGTTTTCATTCACTTCGCCTTTACATTTTGTATACAAAATATTTAAATATTATTTTGACCTATACAGAACAGCCTGGTTTTACTTCATCTAGGACTGAGTAATTTGTTCTTGCAGCCCAGATTCATTCATAACAATTTATACAACATCATATAGAAATTTCATTCATCTTTCTGACAGTCTAGTTTTCACAACTATGTGTTACAATTTTGATACATGTAGCCTTGAGAAAATTTACTTCTACTGTCATGTTTTTTCACTTCAATATTTTGTCTAATCTGTCATAGTTTTTCATCTAAGAGTTAGCCAGTTAGTGTACCAATGTCTTCAAGGAGCCAAATTAACTTTAGAAGTCAATATGGACAATAATTACTGTATAGGTAGTGATTTCAGATTAAAATAAACTGCTCGATTTCAGCAGAAACTGCACAGAGATATCCACTGCTTTCTCACTGAAATAAATAGGTGTCTTTGTGCCCTAATTAGGGCTAGTTGGGACTACTGTCCCAACTAGCCCTAATGTTTTACTGTCCTTCATTTCTCAGATTAGTGCAGGTTATATGAAAATAGGTAAGAGAAGAAGGTCAACTTGGAAGGAAAGCAGAACGTTGTTGCCCAATATTAATTCTGTTATGTCACCTCTTCACATAGAATTGCAATTCTTATGGTACTTGGGTGAATGTAGTTTGTTAGCAGAGGGCTGGGCGAACAGATCACTCTTGCTGTTGGATCATTGGACTGCAAAGTCAGAATGACAATATTTTACTGAGACTGAACAAAACTATAATAAGTCCTCTGGCAGGAAATAGATCATCTTAGTTTATAATGTTGGAACTGCACTGAAATCTTAGTATTCAGGTCTTAAGTGTAACTCTGTTGCCTACACCCTTATAAAGACTGTGAATCCTGTCTGGTTCTCTAGCTTTTAGTCACATATCGATCACAGATTTAGGAAACACCTCCTAATGGAAATGGTTTACCAAATGATTGTCCAGGTATGGACTACATATATAAGAATGATCAAATCCTGATTTTTCTGCCTTGCTGTTCTTACATAAAATTGATTGAAACATCAAAGTCCATGAAGTAATTTATCCTAGATGTAAGATTGTGAAGAGCTGATAGTCAACCTCATAAAGATGAGACTTGATTAGATGTTGGAAACTAGGGTATATTGTTACACAGAAAGTCAGAAGCAAAGCACTCAAATCCATAGCTCTACCCACCATCTAACCAAAATTCTGGACACCCTATGTTGATGATACCTTCGTCATCATCAAATGCTCCCAAACTGAAGAAACACACTACCTACTCAATAACATATTCCCTTGGATCAAATTCAAACATGAAGAGGAAACAGACAACAGACTCCCATTCCATAAGGAGACTAAACAATGGAGAACTCGAAACTTGTATCTACCACAAACCCATGCACAAGGACTAGATCCTCAACATTGCAAGCAAACATCCCATCGCAAACAAAAGAAGCTGTGTCCACACCCTCTTCAAAATGGCCAGGGCACAGTGCAGCACCACACTAAGAAAAGTGGAAGAGAAATGGCTGCTTGATGTCTTTCTCCATAACGGCTATCCCAAAAAAGTCATATTCTGACACACAGCACCCAAACCACAATCCACCACACAGCCAACCACCATGCAAAAATTAAACCTATCATACACAAAGGAGTGTCAGAAATAAAAGCCAGAATTCTCCAACCTCTAGGAATAGCAATAGCGCACAAATCCACAGCCATACTCCACAGGAATTATCCAGAACCAAGATACAGAAGGACGAAAGAAACAATGTAATCTACAAAACCAACTGTAACAATTATGACCAATTCTGTGTGGGACAAATATCACATCAATTAAAAACCAGGATCCAAGAATACTGGCTGGCAGTCAAACGCCACAATCCCAAATCCTTAATTTCTACCCACACCGACACCAAACAGCTCCAGTTTTATTGGAGTAACACAAAAATCACCGCCCACACTACCACCCACCATGCTCATGAGTTCATCAAAGCCTGGCACTCCACAAGCAATTCCATCAACAGAAATATTGACCTACAACCAGTCTATGAACCCCTCAGAATCCAAATCAACTGCACAACCAACCAGAGACAGCACTGACCCTCAACCAATGCACACAAGCCCTACCTAACCAGCACTTCGCCTCCCAATGACCCTCATCTGATATAACCTTTCCATCACAAGGCCCATCACAAGACCCTCACTTGACATACCCACACCTGACCCATCACAAGACCTACTGGCCACATAAAGCCCTTATAAAAAGACAAACACTGACACTGACATCCCCTAATCTCCACTGAACTTGTTACCTAGCCTGGTAACGAAACGTTCAGAAACCAACCCACAAGCTTGGAGAAAGAACCTTCACCCTTGGAAAAGCACATATCGAAACTCTTCACTGGCATTTGCTGGCAAATGGTCAACATCTTTTATTTTCTCTAGGCTGCTTTCCAGAAATCCTTCTGTTGTAGACTCTGAGTTGTTCTTGTTCTTCTTTGTTTGCTCTGAGTTGTCCTTTGGGATCAGCCATTCAATTTTGAGCCAGGAGGGTTGGTTCAGAAAAGCCCTGTTTACTGGCAGTGACATCTTCCCCAAACAGGAACAATTTTTGTCATCCCTTTTTATTATGCTTTATTTATTCTTTCTGAGCCCCTAATGTCACTTCTTCTTTTCCTCCCACAGAGCATGTATCAAGGTTTTTGACACAAGCAGGAAAAGTTCATCAAGAAAGAAGAAACAATAGATCTGATCCTTCCAACAAGTGAAGCATTATACCTTTTGTAAAAGCATGAGCAAAGTATGCAATATCAGAAAAGGAAAAACATTTTGGCCTGGGGTTGATAATATTGCTATTGTTGCTATCAATAAGTGTACTCTAAAATAGTTTCAGTATTAAGTTTAACTAAAACTCTTTTTCCACCCTTGTACCATTATGTCTGGCAGTGATTCTTAAACTGGGGATAATTACTCTAAAAGGGGTAATTTAAGCATATCCAGGGGGATAATGGAGCAATTTGTAATTGCTTGTTTGTGAGTTGAAGATCCAGTTTGGAATTGTCACTGCCAAGACATTTGTGTAAAACATGTCTGTTGTTCATTTGTTTTTGTGGGGTTAATGATAGTATTTGAGAGTGGGACAGAGGTAATTGGGTCAAACAGTTTAAGAACCACTGATCTATGGATATTTTATTGAGCGCTGACACTTTTCAATTTTTAAGTCTTATCTGTTGAATAACAGAGAAAATAGAACACATACTGATAATATATACTATTAAAACAGAATTTGTTAAATCTGGCCATACCTGCCAACTCCAGATGAAATAAAGATCCGTATTTACCATCAAATGGAAATTCCACCAGCTGAAACATTGGAGGGACAAACAATATGATTCATAAGTGACATAACATGAAGTCACTTTCCCAGCTTTCTTTACTTAAAAGCAAGAGAATGATCAAAATTCTACACAAAAGGGAAACATAACTTTTTTTGCAGCTCTATTTTAAAAAATGTTCATCTCGCCTGCACATCCTGTATGCAAGTTGTTTTTCATAACATATAATCCGACCTTAAACACTTTAAGCAGTCAAATATGGAAATGAAAGATGTTATATAGTATATATTAATGTAGACAAGTGTACTAAGAGGATAGGAAGAATCTTTCTCGTAATAACTTCAGTCTGTCCTTTAAGTTCAGATCCAAAAGAACTCTTAGGTACTGTCATTCATCACATATAAAAATATTCTCTTACCAGCAATGCATCATCTCTATTTTGTCAGAAATTACTTTCAGGTTCTGCATTCAAATCATCTTGGCCGCCCATCTGAGCACTTGTTTAGGAAATAGAAGGAAATTCCTGAATGCCTTGCCTAAGAAATATGAATGTCATTGGCTGGAATTGATGGTGTTTTGTTCCCATGATCCAGTTAATGCCATTCATTACTTCATACAGCTATGAAATAGTATTGCTAAATACAATGAGCCTTACTGAGAAAGTTGACGCATTGACTCCAATACCTCCCTGGCCCCATGACTATTATATGAAAAAGAGAGCAACTTCTGAATGAAGTAATTGTGTTGCCTGCTGTGTCCAGCCAGCTCCTGGAAATAATTCATTAGAAAATGATGCTTAGCAAAATTGGATTGTCTGAAATCTGCAGAGATGTATTTCCTCTCTTGTCATTTCACTAAATTCCATAAATCCTATTAAAGTAATGGGTGTCTTCAAATATTTAATAAATGTAAACTAGGTATTGTCTCTTAAGTAATTTTTATTATATGTTTTTATTGCAGATTTTTTCCAAAGTTGGTGGTAAAAATTCAGTGTATTATTTTCCTGGGTTATTTATGGGCAGGGTCCTCCAGTTGGATGCCTGTCCAAGTGGGCTGAATTACAACTACAGTCATTTGTGACACAACCAGTATGAATGCTTGCTGTGAATGATGACCCTTGTAATCCAACGTATTTGTAAATTACCAAATTGGGAAATGTTTCTTCTTAAATTTTGGAGATGAAAGGAGGTGGTAAAGGGAAATGATAAGAAGAAATCTAAAGGACTGTTGGTATCAATAATGTGTGATCTGAAAAAGCTGAGGCAGCTTTATTCATAGATTCACCACTAATTGCAGTTCAAAGGCTCTTCTCAGTACCCTTGACATCTGCACACCAGATTAGGCAAATAGCTTGCACGCGTGGATGGAGAAGACACTCTGAATAGATACCTTGGCAAAAATGCTGCTGGTGAACCGGGTAGATACATTTCTCTGTGCAGGTGAACAGATAAGATAGAAAACCTCCCAACTGGAGTCACTATTATATTTAGCCTACCCCATACAGATTTCCCTAGTATGGAACATGGCCCATTTCCTCTACATTTCTTTGAAAAGGTGGACAAATGTTTAACCATATTAGAGTATGCAATAAAGATTTAAATATTTCCATTAATTTGTTTTGGATTTAGAAAAAATACCAGTCATCTGTATTTTATTGCTTACCCGTAACCAATGTATATATTCTCTCATATAAATGTATGATTCTCAGGGCAGCTTTTAAAAACAGCAAATTAAAAGATCTGATATATTTGGTACTGATATAATCCAAACCTTCATGATGTTTAGGGAGGTTTGAAAATGGAACATTTGTATATTATTTCTCCAGAGAGAAAGAGAATTAAAACCATATCCTCTTTTATCTTAAAATTAGCCATTTTATTTTATTTACATTTTAAAGGGGGTTGTAGCATCAATACATATTGCAGGCTAAGAATTGCTTGCTGTTGCAAATCCCCATAAACCTGCTATACAAAACAACTGTAGGAGCAATGGTTGCAGTATTAAAGACAACGCCAGAACTGCTTATTCTTGAATACTTACATGAAAACGTTACAAAAAAGAGTGGTGGGTGAGAAATTTTAATAGATACTGAATCAGTTAGCAGGGGAGCCTTTTAAGAAATCTACAGGCATAGTAGAGTAGATACCGCAGCTCATCAGATTCCTTGGAGAAAATCACTAGTGCCTCACTGGCATTTCCCACACAGATACACACATTCATATGTAGAAAGGTATTACATATCCTTTCTTGATAGAGACAGTAAATATGAAGCTTGTGAGAAAATAAGCAGCATTTTCCTCCTCGTCCACAATCTTAATCTGATATCAGATTTGGAACCAAATAATTGTGGGGGGATTATGGATTATAATACATACTCCTTTTATTATCCGGCTGCTGTGCTGAGATTTTGTGTTTTCTGTTTTTTTTTTTCCTGCTGGAGATGGTGCCTTGGACATGAGTTCTAGAATAGCATTCAGGGAGATAGAAAGCTTTGATCCATGTTTACAGATTTTGAATATTTTTATACAAGTTAAGAAATTAACTTTAATTCCTTTTTATATAATTGTATTAAACTTATTAGAGTATAAAGTACAAATAAAAGTGAAAATAGTGGGAAAATGGGAAAGGGGAAATAGAGAAGTATAGGATGAAGGGGGGTGAAGCACTAATCTTTGACTCCTTTCAGCACAGTAGAATTAGCATAATAATATTATACTTTTTATTTTGCATACTCAGCATATACTAGACATTTCTATAACAACAACAAGAAGTCTTTAAGAAGAGATTGGACGGCCATTTGTCTGAAATGGTATACTACAGGGTTTCCTGCCTGAGCAGGGGGTTGGACTATACGACCTCCAAGGTCCCTTCTAACTTTATTATTATTATTATTATTATTATTATTATTATTATTATCATCATCATCATCATCATCATCATCATCATCATCATCATCATCCCCAAAAACCTGTTTAATTTGTAAATCCCAAAGTCAAAATTTCATTTTTTTTTCTGTCTCAAGCACAACATTCAGAAGTGGCTTCCAGATAGAAGCAAACTGAGATCTACAGGTAGGTCTTGACTTACAACAGTTATTTAGTGACCATTCAAAGTTACAACGGCACTGAAGAAAATGACTTATGACTGTTTTTCACACTTACAACTATTGCAGCATCCCCATGGTCACATGATCAAAATTCAGACGCTTGGCAACTGACTCATATTTATGACAGTTGCAGAGTCCCAGGGTCATGTGATCCCCTTTTGCAGCCTTCTAACAAGCAAAGTCAATGGGGAAGTCACATTCATTTAACAACCATGTTATTAATTTAACAACTGAAGTGATCCATTTAACAATTGTGGCAAGAAATGTTGTGAAATGGGGCAAAATTCATTTAGCAACATACATTCTAGGCTCAGTTGTGATTATAAATTGAGGACTACCTGTATTCTACTCTCTGATTAAAGCAGTTATTTTGGCCATTTCTACTAGGTCCATGGGTTTCTCTAACCATTTTTCCATGTGGGGATTAATTTATCTTTCCATTTTTGCACATAAATCATTCTTGCTGCTGTCAACATGTATAACAAAAAAAAAAAAATCAAACTTTTTTTGTAGTTCTCTATTAAACCTAGAAGAAAAGTCTGATTTAATTAGTATATTTGCAAATCTTTTGTATTAAAATATGATTTTTCCCCAGTGTTTCTTTGCTTTGTCACAAATCCACCAAAAACGACAGAAGATTAACTTTAATTTCAATGGAAGCTATGTACTGTAAAGAGTTCACATTAATAAAAAGGAAAGTAAATATATGATGTAATAAATACTACTATAAATATAATAAACTTAACATTCTTTTTACCTACTTAAAATCATACATCATCTTCATTGTCATTCCATCTTTTCCCTCTGACATAATAAGTAAACCTGTCTTGACGGGAAACCTACATTTAGCTATTAATCATGAGCAGCAATAGTCTATTTTATTATTATTGTTTTATAAGCACAATTATAATCTGTCCCTTTTTTAATAACAGTGTCCAATACGTGTCAGAATTCTGTGCACAATGGATTGCTCAAAATGTTATTACATGCTATGTTCCAGATGTTTTATATTAAATAGAATGACCATAAGATTTGGGAATTTCAGTTCTTTGAGACTTAATGTATCCATCTGCAATCTGGTTAGCTTTTCCATACCTCAGAAGAATTAAACCAATATAAGTCATTGCAAATAGAACAGAACAGAACAGAATAGGAGTGATAGAATTGGAAAGGACCTTGGAGGTCTTGTAATCCAAATGCCTGCTCAGGCAATGAAACCCTACACCAGGGGTCCTCAACTTTGCTGGCTGAGGAATTCTGGAAGTTGAAGTCCACAAGTCTTAAAGTTGCCAAGGTTGAGGACCCCTGCCCTACACCATTTCAGACAAATGGCTCTCCAATCTCTTCTTAAAAACTTCCAGTGTTGGAGCATTCACAACTTCTGGAGGCAAGTTGTTCTACTGATTCATTGTTCTAATTGTCAGGAAATTTCTCCTTAGTTCTGATCCCATTAACAGAACCAATGTAAGAAGAAACAAAACCAAGAATGGCATGTGCAATTATACTTGGGATGCATTTGCAATAATTATTTGGAGTAAATACTAGCCTGATTCTTAGCCTAATGAGTTATACAATTTCAGCTGATTGTAGATTACTGATTGGCTTTGACTTAATATTGATTTTGATTTAAACCAGTCTTAAAGAATGAGCCATGATGAACTTAGCTCAAGAATAATTACAATAATTGCAAAACTCCTGCAAATAATTGGTAATAAAAAATATAAAACTAGAACAATGATATACAAAAACAGTTCAGTATTACCTACATATTTTTGTTTGTTTTCATCTTTATGCTGCTGTGCCATATTGTTAACCTTAAATTTTGCGATTGCATGGCTACAATTAAAGGTTGAAAATAACACTGAAATCTTATGATGAATTGTGAAAATAAAAGACCCAGGGAGCCCAGAAGATCCCTCTTGAGCTATAGTTACAAACAACTCTGATATCCTGATTTATTTAAAAAAAAAAAACAGTGGCAGATGTCCACATTCCTTTAAAAATACCAGGGAAATTTATTTCATGGTTATCTTAACTAGTACATTCTACCAGAATAAAATGGCTAATTAGTTCAAACTAGTGAATTTAATAAGTTCACCAGAATTTCATGCAAGACTTTCCCACCTCTCATTGGAAGACTGGGGAACAAGCTGGGTTAAATGAGCAAGAGCCTTCTCCAAAATTTGATCCTATGATGTGATAGAAGACAAGACACAAGATAATGACTTAGTCTTTATTATGAAATCTGATGATCTTGTCCTGGAAACTCTAATCACAGCAGGTCTTCTTCCTGGTACTAATGATGAAAATAGAATAATAATGTCCCTAATAAATTAAGGAAAATCCTCTTCCAAATAGAAAAAGTTGTATCATAAAAATCATACCCCCATTCCTACCATATCATCATATTCTCTGATGAAGCACAGCAAAATAGGCATTTAATGAGTTGTTTTTAACCTTGCAAGTGATTGAATAGAGCTCTCTCAAGAGGCTCTGATAGCCTTTATCAGTCATTATTACCTTGTACAGCAATTTCAGCTTTTGGAGTATATGACAAACACAAT